TTGTTCGTAGCAAGGTTTTCTTGTATTTGCTAGGATGCGCTGGTCTCTGAGCTTGTCAGATTGTTCATGGCTCTCTCACTTCGCATATTTGAAGGGGGTTGTCATGAACTTGCAGTCCAGGATCCGCGAGCCCTCACACAGCCTCTCTGACCTGCTGATGTGTGGCTTTGGATCTTCTGCGAGCTGTGGCAATCTTGAAGGCTGAGCCCATACCGGTAGAATTGTTGGCAAGACCCCTACTGGCCCTTCTAAGTGCTGTTTCCTGATTTGATAAGCCTGGGCAGGTGCTCCATTCAGCCGCTACGTGGCCTCAGGCTCTCTAGCGGAAAAACATGAAGCAGATTCGAGCAGGGTGGGGGTATGCGAGCGTATTTGAGGACAGAGGGCTTCCACGGGCTCGGATGATTCGGAAGGAAGAAGTGTGAGAAGGGCCACCAGAGTGTAATGCAAGGTGATCAGCAGCGCCTTCAAGATTTCATCACAGAGTCGTCCCAGGGAGATGCGCCACCCAGGTCACCTGGTCTGAAGCGTTGCATCTGAATCTGCTAGTGAAGGTACCTCCAAAAAGGGCTCTCCTGTCATTGATGAGGTCCATCCACCTGCAGATGAAAGATTCCGGTGGCATTTCCTTCAGCGCCGAGCTATTTCACGTCGTCATTCCATCACTGAGGACACGTCTGACACGAGTGTCCAGTTACATCATGCGAACTGCTTGCCGAATTGCTGGTAGCCCATGCAACTGCAGCGCAGGCCGGGTCAGCAAAAGGAGCACCTGATCGGAATAAGTCAGGCCTGGGGAAGTGTGCTGCCGTCCGAAGAAAGATAGGAAAAAGATATGTATGTGTGATCCAGGAGCATGCGGAAAGAACGGTCGCCGATTTGCCGCAGCTTGGCGGAAGGTTCGTTTTAGCTAGTATGTGAACTGGTAGAAGGCGCATTACGTTGCTTGGCATTGCTTGCCTGCACAGAGATGATGGTGTATAGAAGAGAATAGAACTCAAAAAAGCCAGCGCTGCTCGGAGCCAGAGAGATGTAGGGAGCCGCCAGGGAGGCCCTAGTTAGAAATCTAGCTGGCCAGGGCAGACCGATTTGACCGGACCTTGCGCTCGCGTGCTCCAGCACCATCGTCGGACATGCGGCATATCCTGGGTATCTTGGCGGACGTTGTCCTCTTTAGCTGATTGCCTCTTCTTTCTCGGAGCTCGGCTTGTTTTCCGTTGCCTGCGAGTTTTTGCACTTTTTTTCACATCTTTTCCCGACTGAGGTGCCCGTGTGAAGGGCAGTGGGAACGCGCTTCTTGCCGAGCACGGGCAGACTGTCAGTAGATGTCAGTAGCACGCAAGAGGAAGAGTGTGGCACTCTCTTCCAAGGCCGAGTGCAGACAATCTGTCTCAAAGCAAGACCCCTGACCGCATTTCCATGACTTGACGACATCAGTCCGGCTCGTGGCACACGAGACCGTCCGTGAGCTGCACATGGCGCAAAATCTCAGAGATGCCGGTGCCAGAACATCCCAAAGCAGTTTTCGGCCGGCGTGCAAGGGTTGATAGATGTTGATAGACTGCATGTACATGCACGCCTCCCAAGCAAGCAGAGGAGCAATGGCAGCACGAGCGGGAGCTCCAGGAGTAGCCGGACACAAAATTTGGTACGACTTCGTGTGCTTGAGAGTCTTGTCCTGCATTACCCCACCCTGTGTTGTAACAACGCTGCTTCAAGACTCAGCCACAAGCTCATCCATGTTCATCACAGGAAGGTCAACTTCGTCATCGATGTCCAAACATTACATGACGACTTTGCGTTGCGCTCGGTGACCCTGTCCTTCAAAGAGACTGAGAAGTGCCCAACGCCTCTTGGGTCGGAAACTTCCCTCTTGTCTGTAGTGAAGGGTGGTGCCGCTCAGTGATACTGTCGTATCGCCTAGCAGACAGAATTGGGCTTTTCAGAAGCCCAGGTCAGCCATGCCCAACTTGCTTGAGTGGATGCGACCAAACTACAGGCAAGGATGTGAGCAGTTGAATTTTGAATGATTACTGCATCTGTCTTAACGCAAGTGCTGTTGCAGCTGTTGTATTGCCACGTGTGTTCTGCCTGTGTCGTGTGTTTTTCTGACGAAGACTTCCTGACCAGGGACGTGGTCTTCAATTGGGTGCAAGCCCATGCAAATGCCTTTTATGCCGGCCGCGAGTGTACGGAGATGCTGGGGGGGGGTTCAAAGTGCTTACTGTACGACTATACGTGCCCTTGGGAACCTGCCCCTGCACCTGCCTCCAATCATGGAAGCAAGCTGGGCTCGATTGTAGTGAAGCTGCGTACGTCTCTGCAAACCTGCGCATGTCTTGTAGCAGGTCATGGCAGCATGCATTCGCTCGGTTGTCCTCCAGCATCGAAGCCAAAGAAAGCAAGTTGCACAAGCTAGAAGTGCAGGAGAGAGATGCTGGCAGAAGCATCGGCAGTGCCACTGAGGCAGAAGCAAAACTTCGAAAGAAGACAATGTGAGGAACGCCATGAGAAATAAGGGGAGTGGCGCAATCGCATGGCGGAGGAACACTTCCACACCGTGATAGGCACGGCATCGTGTGCCCACCATCGCACCCTTGGCTTCGCAGCGGAAATTTAGCCGATGTGCCTGCTTCTAAACACAACAAAACTGCCTCAAGCCAGCAAATGGTTCGGCTTTCACACTCGCGAATCACGAACGCACGTTCCACGCTTCAATCGTGAAGCTTCTCCTTCGGGTTTACGCACGGTCTTCAGAGGGAGTTTGCATGGACTTTCTTAAATTTCCGGGCCCGCTATAGAGTCGCTTGATGTTGAGATGAGATCTTGAGCATTGTTGGTCTGAAGGCTACAGAATCCCAATGTCTCCCGCAGTTCAAAACCGTGCTCAGATGCAGTGTGGCCTTTGTTGCAGGAGTCGCCACTGCGCGGGGTCAAACTCATCTCACCTATGGCTTCGGCTAAAACCATTCTGGTTGGAGATGCTTGGTGACAGGACGAACGATGTCCATCAATCATCGCCCCACGTCAACGATGACCCCAGGTTTGCCTGAAAGGCCTTTGTAGTCACAATTAGGTCAGCTACAATCTGTGACATCGTGGCATCAAGGAAATGAATGCAGTCGAAATGACTGATGCCCTGGACGAGAAGCTGCACGCAGAAACAGTGGCGCCAAAGCAGGACAGTCTCGACGACGAGGAGGAGCCTAGTGATGACGGCACCTTGCATGATTTTTTGTCTGCTGTCCTTCAGCACGCTCCATGTTGCATCCCCTGGCCTCTTCTTTGCCTTCCAGCGCTGCGCTTTCCCAGGCGAGATGTACATGAACATCGAGTTGCGCCAACTGTTCGCTCACTAGATGCCCAATGCCGAAGTTGCAGCGTTGATGCACGCGATTGTTCCAACAGGCATTTCATGTTCCAGCTTTCTTGTGTGTTGAATTCCTGAGCTTGCGGCGAAGCACTGTGTCTTTAGCTCCCTGGAGCAGTCACAGGGCATGCAAAAAGGAATGACCTGGTATGGGAATTCCGGTGTATGCTGTGAGCTGGCTATGCCCCGCACTGCATGACCCAACATGGTCCAAGCTGTGCCACCCTTAGTGCTGTTTTCGCACAAGAGACCATTTAAGGCAGCAGGACTGCCGATGAGTTCAGGAGGTTAAGCAATTGAGCAAAGCAGGTAAACACCAGTTGTGTAGACGCCACATTGCGAAGGTTTGGGAGCAGTGGAGTAGAAATCCATACATGTGATGTACAATCGGTGTATGTGAAAAAACCCCGCAGGAACTTTACAACCCAAACACCACCTTCACCTTCACCCGATAGTTCTCCACGAAGTGCCCCCTCCCCCACCCCCCCCCCCCCACCCCCACCCCCCGCCAACCCCCCCTGCCCCCTGCCCCCCCTCACCCACCCCTGCCCTACGCACCGCCCCCAATATTTTCCTTTCAAAATAATTCGAATTGACTAAAAGTACTTGAAAGTCAATGAGAAATAGGCGAAACTAGTTAAAGTTCATGAAAGCAATTAAAACATCAATTACAACGATAGAAAAGTTCACAAAACACAATTTTACTTGCTTTGCAGTTGATTTTTTCGCCATTTTCAAGTTAACAATATTGACAAAGTGACTAAATAGTGAAATAACTTTTTCCATTCTTCAAGTGATTTCACTCTTTCATCGCTTTGTCAATATTTTTTAATTGAAAATGGTGAAAAAATCAATTGCAAAGCCAGTCAAATTGTGTTTTTGTGATTTTCTATCATTGTAATTTATATTTTAATTGCTTTAATGAACTTTAGTTAGTTTCGTCTATTTCTCATTGATTTTCAAGTACTTTCAACTTTTAGTAGCGAACTCGACTTACTTTGAAAGGAAAATATTGGGGGGAGGTGCGTAGGTGGGGGCGGGGGTGGGGGCGGGGGGGGGGGAGGGAGGGGGGGGTGGGGGCGGGGTGGGGGGGGGGGGTGGGGGGGGGGGGGGGGGGGGGGGTGGGGGGGGGGGGTGGTCGGAACTGTAGATTTCAAAAACGCGCTAAATGGGAGGGCTTAGAGCTCCATGTGGCTCCATCAAAACAGACATCTAGTACCCCACTCCTCCCGTGCCTCCAAGGCCAGTCAAGGAGATGCATAATCACATGCTGAGTACAGAGCACAGTGGTCCCATGAGCGTTGCGCCATGTAAGTTTCAAATTGTCCCGGAAACAAGCACCGCATCTTCCCGAAACTGATGTCCAGTCCTTAGCCACATTGATCCTAGGGTCCTAGAGATTCCCAGAACTTACGTGCTCTGAACTTGATGCTACCAGTAGCTGCAGCTTGGCAGCCGGGTGGCAAAGCCAGCCTGGGCTTTGGCGCTAAAAAACGGTGGCTTTTCAATATCCGTTGTGTAGTCACATGTCTTGGTCTGCCAGAGTTAAAAAAGGGTGATGCTGAGTCCCTGCGTCAGTCATTTGTTAAGACAGCACCATGATGTGCTCGAAGTTTCTCTGAGATATCAGGCAAGACGGAACTTGTTCCGCTCCATATTTCTACCGTGGCACCTGCCCCTGGAGCGTGAACCTCCTGAACTACACTCCTGGGATGAAGGCGACTTGGAAAGAGAGAATCAGCTCGCCTCAAATGGACACATATGTCATTAGGATCAGAATGTTTTATGGGAGCATCCAGCTCCAGAATGTCTGCAGAGGATGAAGTGTGCGGCATGGCTTAGCCATGTTTGACATGTCAAAAAATAGCAGTGTGGACCGACCGGCAGAGTGTTGTAATCCGAACAAAAGTGGAGCCTCTGCTTGGGCAGGGGTGGGTGGGGGGGAAGGCAAGCTGTCCATCATAACGACAGTGTAGTGTCGATTTTTCATGAGAGCGAACCTGTGAGGCCACCTTTGCTGCCAACTGTGGCGCCTGGCCCTCGAGGAAATGCTAGTTGGAATTCGTGGTGGATCAGTTGTTTCCTGCCCTAGGAGCATACTGGCGGCTTGCATTCTCTTTGTAAATCGTTGGCGGTATGAGCACACCCAGCATTGGCAAGACCTGGTACCTTCCTGTCCCTTTGTCTTCAAGCCTGTGGCGCGCACGGCCTCCAGCACCGTATGGAACGTATATGTATGCATAGCCTGCATATATGTTTATATGTCTATATCTACATTGCGGCCGCGTTCCACGACTGCAGCCCAAATACGACCGAGTACGAGTACGGCCGCGTTCCGCGATTGCAGCCCAGTACGCCCAAGCCCGCGCCCGAGTGCGCCATACCCGGTCACATCCGGTCATACGCGGTCCTACCTGTTCACACCCGGTCATACCGGGGCAGCCCCGCTGATACTCGGTCATACCGCCCCGTGGTTTTTCACAGTCGTTCTCTCCCGTTACAGTGTGTATATGTTGTACACTACCAATTATCTTTTGCACATATGTATACGTGTATATATATACATATACATATTTATTTATTTATACTTTTTCTCACACACACACGCACATATATATATATACATATATATATATACATATACTTAGGTGTTTGTAATCATATATCACCCCAGATATCGCATGACATCACCATCGCCCGGATGGCGAGGTCGGATGGCCACTGGACAAGAGCTACGAGGGCCCGCAGCCAAAGCCGCTGCCAGCCAAGTACCCATCCCACGCGCCCGCCACGGCCACAGCTTACAGCGTGCGGTGTAGCCCATGAGCCGATACAATCAGATGTCAGATATAGTCGACCACGAGACGGCTCTTCTACATCCCTTTGTGCCCACGAATTGGAGTTTTGCTTTGTGGCTTGCCGGCCAAGGGTCAAAAGCCTGCATGGGAATGCGTCCGCAACTTCATGCGTCCTTGCCCTGATGGGTTCAACTTCGACGGGGCCATGTGCCACGAGGCACCAGTGTCTGACACATGAGGCTTATCACAAGCCTGCCTATGCCAGCCTCAGCAGATCTCAGCAGGCAGCTGGACAAAACACACACACACACAAACTTGCCAGGATGGAAGTTACATTGGCGCAAACATGCTACTTGGATTGCACGTGCAGGTCCTGCAAATCGTCTGCACTGTACTGTACTTGTAGCTCGGCCTCGGAAGGCCATGACTTAGTGTTCGTTTATTGTACCATGACATGGTTCAGAAAAAGCTGAGGAAGAATTGCCCGACCCTTACAGGGGCCTGGCGTGGCAAAACATGATGGTGAGCCGCATCATCGAACTGAGATGTGGGCCGAGGTGCCCACTTCGATGCTAGACGCTGGACGAATGAAATGAAGGTCGCGCCTGTTCAGAGCTTCATGCTTACTGGGATGCTGGGTTGAACTTCTCATTTGCATTCATTTGCCTTGCTTGTGCTTGGCACAGGAAGCCTTCTCAGCTCATTGCCATGTTTGGTGGCCGTGCAATCAGGCAGCTTGATACACCTTGAGGGGTCGCAAGTGAATTGCCCCCCGTCCCCTCAAGCTCCACAGTCATCAGCGAAGTCGAAGTGAAACAAATATTCAGAAGCCTTGGCCGATATGAAACCTGGCTCTTTGCATGTTGAAGCGAGTGCAGCCTAGCTTGAGCAGGCCTCCTCCGGCACGTCTGGACGTTCTCTGCCCAACGGGCCACTTGCAAGTGGCCCGGGCAAGAAAAGCTAAGGAAGGTTGCCTGTCCTGTCCCGTGGCCCCAGCATGGTGCCGAAGTTGAAAGCCTTCTCTCTTCCAACATCTGTTCACATGCGGACTCCGTCTGTTGGCGTGCCGTGGGAATGCTTGAAGTTGGCTTGAATCCAGACCATGAAAGAATCTCGGTCCAATGTTGTCAACATCTGGGAGCTCACCTAAACTCAACTTCCTCCAAGGAGCACAGATGCTGCTGATGCTGCCGGCGGGACTCTGTCCAGATCAGTCGCCTGGCTCTTCCCGGCGCAAGGCCACAGAGGGCGCACAGCACGGTGCATGCGGACTTCATGCCGGTGGCTGACAGTCATGTTCCTATACACTGCTATACACTTAGTCGCGGAACAAGTGGCAGGCACTCCATCATTTTCTGTGACCGTGCGGTGAGGAAGAAAAGGTTGAAATGCATGCGTCTACATGACCCGCTCACATGTGCATACCTGGTCATGCTTCAAAGCTCTTTTCGCTGTAAAAGTGTCATGCAGCGTCTCAGCCTGCCGAGCCGGCTCGTGCCTGAGTCGTGCTGCCCAGATCATCTATCTGCGCATTCTCGCATCAGGGCATGTCCATCTAGCGAGCTCATCTTGAAGGTACCTGCAGTGCAGCTTGCTAGTGTCAGAGAGGGTCTCGCGCAATTGGAGTGCGGCACTGCACCTCGCAGCCTCCAGTGGATAAAACATGCTGCGCGCAGCCGTGCTTCTTGGCGGCAAGCACCTGCATGGCTGCACAATGTTGCACCTCAGTGGGCCTTGTGAGTCCAGTGAGCCCTGGGCTTCTTCATAAATAGGCCAGGTGCACCCATGAGCAAGCAAAACGATTGTGAAGTTCGTGTCCAAGGCTGATCACGGCGGCGACCGGCAAGAGCTGGATTGAAGGAGCTACAGGATCGGCTTTTGCCTTCAAACTCATTGCTCCCCGTGAGCACGAACAAGACGTGAGCATTGATCTACAGGTCCTGATGCGGTCGTGTGATTTATCATAGTTGGTTTAACTGTTGTTTATCAATCTTTGAGGTTCTCTGGGCTGCCGGTAACCCAGATTTGATTTATCTTAAGTTTGATAAAGTCTTAAAAAGGCCCACATGGTAAACTCTGTGTTCCTGAATCCCTAAAACAAAAACAAATATAAGGCATATACAAGCTAACCATAGCTAACCCTTGAAGGCCTTTAGGAACCAAGAGTTTGAGAAAATCCTTAAAAAGCATATGAGCGACTGGCTCGATTCTGCGCCTCTCTAGGTGGCTGTGAGCGGGACATAGCAAATTTGCTGTGGAAGCGATACCTACGGGGCCAGGAAGGTTCAAGATGAAGAGGCCGCATCCAAAGGGGGTTTGAGCCGGTGTGAGATAAAGCTCCATGAAACTCAGGCCTCCAGCCTTGGGGCCCGAAGCAAAAGCAGACCGGACTGCATGCAGACGCCCCGGAAACGCTATCAACCCCTCGATGTTAGCCCAGCCCCAGAATCGCCGGAAGAAAGAAGAGATTCTGGGACCATGCCAGGCTTTCTGGAAGGCAAAGAGCGTGTTCGCACTCTTCAAGATGCGCAGCTCCCAGAGCAGGCGCGCGAGCTTCAGTCCATGACTCACGGATGCATTGAACCCGTGGAGTACTCCCGAAGGTTGAACTTAGCCTGTATGGAATTGCGTTGCATAGACCTCACGGCCTGGCAGACTCTGTCGCAGGGCTCCGGTCAACGTGTGCTGTGCGGTGTTAGTGCTGCAGCCGCGGCACTGTTTGCAGCTTCCCGAAGAGCCAGGACTGGACTGCCATTTGGTTCGTAGCAACTGTACGCACACAAGTGTGCCATTTTTGGAAGGCATCGTCGGCTGCGAGCATCCTCCAAGCTGAGCTAACTGTTGGACGAGTTTAAGCCCTGATCCAAGAGCTGCGGTTGATAAACTAGGGCCCGATTCAGAACTGCACTGCGAAAGCCCGCAGATGTACACCAGAAAAGGACTACGCCGAGGGCCTCGGCAACCTCAAGATCTGCTTCGATCCTAGGTTGCACGAGTCCTGGGCTTGTCATTGCCTGTTCCATATGCAACATTGATGGTGAACTGATGGTGCCAAACAGCCTTGAAGCGTTGCTCCAAAACACGTGGATCGGATTATTTCCGACACCCTAAGCCACAGTCGTTAAATCTTCGTACATCACCGCGCAAACCACGTCCTGGAACGGTCAGTTGAATGTATGTCGCTTGTAGAAGGAGACGGAAAACAAAAGACCGCAATCACGACTGAAGCAGTGCTTTGTCATGCATCGGAAAGCATGAGGAGCAACCGGAGCCTGCTCAAGTCTCGCGTTCAGATCATAGGCTTCGCGCTACGGCATGGGGAGATGGGACATGCAGTCTCCAGCGTTGCTTGCTTTCAGGGCTTAGTCCTGCTTTGGGAGGTTCATGCTGCCTGATAATTATGCAGTATGCGCTTCTCCAGATCTTCAGCATCTACAGCTCTGAGCTGCTGGAGCCAGGCCCAGATTTTTGCTCTTTTCAGAGAAAAGCAAAGAAGATGAACATGATGAACTCTTGAGAGGAGATGCCAATCAGCTTTATGCAGCGGCCAACTGGGGCGCATGCTTCCTGGCAGCTCCCGCAGGACAAGGTTTTTTGATGTGAACAGAGCGCAGCGGTATGGAAGTAATAATCGAGCGAATGAGTTGGATGGGGGGGAGTGAGCGAGGCTATACTCAGGTGAGGGTTCGCTTTTGTTTAGATTCGTGGCCCTCGATCTCGCTGTGGACAAAAGCCTGCCTGTGAGAATATGAAGCTGAGCCCAGAAGATGCCGAACGCATCAAGACCTCCTAGGGTTGGCATTTGACCACAGGTTGAGTACGACTTAGCACAACGAGGTCATGCTAGTGACGCAGCAGCGTCGCCAGCGAAGAAGATCAAACTCTCCTCGGTTTTTGATCAGACCAATGATGCTGAAGACAGCACTTGGTGCTTTCCCGCTCCACGATGAAAAACCTACGGGCGAGCAGTTGCTTCGTGTTGTTGACGGGATTGTACGCGAGCCCCGCTTCGTCAGCTGCATCTGTGTGAAGCAGATATCCGGCAGCAACAGGACGCGCAGGCCATACAAGGCATAAGGGATCCAGCCAAAGCCGTGAACCAGATGGCAGGTCTTCAGCTGGTAGGATCCAAAAATGGGCAATCGTGGACGTCTTTCTACTGTAGAGTGTCCAGAGACCACCTCGGCCAGCAAGAAGATGGAACAAAACTTACCCGTTGTCGACGTTCTCCGACTCTGCCTGGCGGTGGCAGCTAATTACCCCGATGTCGTGGCAGCCAATGGGTTGGCGTTCGGGGCACCTGCAGGGTCCAGAATCCGGGGTCCTCTGCAAGGACCCTGGTGAAGTTTTGCCCGCCGGCGAGGAAGTGCTCAATTCCGTGACTGGACGACGAGCAAGGATTCTACAACCACTATCAGTCTGTGGAGGACGGCCTGAGGCAGAGAAGCTTTTTGAAGATCTCACGGAGAGAGGCTGGGGGCCCCTTGTGGAAGACGCAGTGCGGATGGCCGTGCGCGTTCGGCTATTTCGCTCACCAAAACATGCGGGATCAACGACCGGTACAGCCTTTGTCGGGATCAACGCGCGCTAAAGCCCTTGCGTGAAAGATGCTTCCGTGACCCGTTGGATCCTTCCTCCGACCATGATAGCAGGGAGTCGGATGCGGAGTAAAGGGCCCAACTGGAACGATGCGGCTCATCGCTCAAGGTCACACGCCTGACAAGCGCAGCGGTACGGAAGTAATACTCAATCAAATGAGTTCCCCCTTATCACAACGACCTCTCATAAACACAGGCTTCCCCTCACGGTGCATGTGCTTGGACCCGCGGTTCCAAGGGCAGGGAGGTGTTTGTTATGATTTCTTTCAGTTGTTTTAGATGGGAAATGTCAGCTTCTGAAACATACCTTTTTTGCAGCGGTTCAATGGAGATGTTGGGATTTCCTCGTGTCTCTGTCTTTACGGCGTAACGGGCCAATGGGGCTTGGCTAGCCCAACTTTTCTCTGCTATGACTTCGGTGTTTGCTGTATTAATTTGCACCATTTTGCACCCATGTGGAATACATGTGTGTGGTAGTTCCTGCCAAACTCTCCATTCCCGAAGCTGGCACAAAGACAATCCATGTAGCAATGCTCGAAAGAGGTCTTCTATTTCAGCCAGAGAACCAAACATGTCAGCTCGCGCAGTGTTCCAGGAATCGTCTTCGATGCCCTTGGTCCTGCCTGGCCAGCACGGGAACATGTCTGGGGGATACGTTCATGATCGTTCATGTCTGGCTCGATGCTATCGGCAATGCATACGCACGAATGCAGTTGGAACGCTGCGTTGCGAGTTGACAATTTTCGACAGCAATGCCCTAATGTGCAGGGCCTGTCTACTTGGCGGGCTTTGCAGCAGCTCTGGTATCTTGGACTCGCCTTATATCAAAAAGGTGACGTCGTTTGGCAAGTCAAAAATGAAGTGTCCCTGAGACCGGATCAGAAGCCTTGCAAGTACTAGCACGGAAATGCTAACATCAGTGCAAGTACAAGTTGCAAGCGCACGGTTGGAATGGTCGTCTTTTTTGCTCCTTCAATCTGCACCGGTCCAAGTGATGTCAAGGTATGGCATTGGCCCTGGCATCATTGCTCGGAACACCGAGGAGTTGAGGGGTTTCAGGTGTGAACGGGACGGAGAGGTTGTGCGACCTTTTTCTTGAATAGCTGAGTGCCCACTCCTGCTATTCCTGCTGGAATGACGTGGGAAGCATGTTCTGGTCTGCACATTCACGGAACCCCTGCAGGATCTATTCAGCCAGTCTTGGATACTTCCTCTTTGGTTTCGGAGCCACGCTTCTCAACACGGACGCTTGGCTCCGGCACTGGAATCGAGAAAAACGCCCGGGAATGGTAGCCACTTGACTGGCAGGCCGTTTGGTACAAGCTGGTGAAAGCCAAGGTTGCCGTTCTAGCTGCAGTGCGCGCAGCACCACCGAAGCAGTCTGCAAAGGTCTCTGCAGGCGTACTGTGCTCGCTGCTCACTTGCACAAGACTCCCCACAGACCAGTTCGCCAGACTTGAGGTCAGAAGCTTGGGTCCACAATAGCACCTTGCAAATAGACAATCTTTACCCACGCAAGGCTTGCCATTGGAATGAGCATCCACACGGCCGTGCACGCACAATGGTTTCGCGACCTGCCAAGAAATGTGACATGTACGGAAGTTCCCCCGGCCAAGGCCTTTCGAGTCAAGGCACTCGGATAATGAAGACATGCCGTGATAGTTGGCGCGTGCTGTCATTGTTGCAAAACCTTCCGCGTTCACGATGCTCTGTGACAGCACAGCAATGGCCGACATGGGCAGCTTAGGCGGAGCACCTTTCAACTTCCTGTCCTACCAGATTGCCTACAGCCTGTTGAGCGGCATCTTGGGCCCCTTATCCCGAAGTTTTCACATCGAGATCTGGCACTCCCCAAGTCGTAAATCAGTCCGCCCTCAAGTTGAAAGGGCCAGTCAGTCCGTGGGGGCAGATGGAAGGTTTTCTGGTTTTTCGCTCTTCGGCCTGGAATGCGGTGGCCGAGTCTGCTGCAGATGATGTAAGCCACTTGGCATACACTCAAAGCCTCAAGACCCTCAAACGCTGGGTTTCTCTTACGTGGGGAGAGGTGGTCTCGGTTCGACGTAGATGCAGGACCTGAGCTCGTGGTACCGTTGTTTTATCAGCAACTAACCTCTTCTTGGTGGTAGAGATTCTTTGGTTGTGTTTGGTTTTTCACGTGTTACTTCCAACGAGGAACTTCGTGCCCGTCCCCTGGTCGCTCAGCCGAGCCAACCATATGAGAGAGACGAGTTTTCGCGGGCTTTTTGGCTTCGGCTGAGGTCAGGGTTCTTATAAAGGGGATCCTTATGAACCTCTGATGTTAGTCTCCTTGGGGTCTTGCGGTGTCGAGTTCTGACCTCTGAGTCCCTGGAAGCTGGGGAGGGTCCTTACAAGGTCGCTACTGGATCGGCGGACCAGACTGTTGTGACCACATTCGCCTTGTTGTAACCGTGTATGAATGGAGTCTCTTGGTACATGCTTTTGTGAGGTAGTACTCCCATATCCTAGGCCAGATAGATGCACGAAAGGATACTTAAGGTTCGGGTGTTGTCTGGGTGAAGCCATTCAATGCATGGCTCAGCCTTAAGTGGAGAAGGCTTTAGGAAAGCAGACAGCTTCCCCTCTTGCAGCATGATCTGCTCCAGCCCTTGTTTGAGGTGGAGGGTTTGGAGCTTCGGAGTCAAGCGCTCCAAAGCTTTGCTCAGGTGAGCCGTCCGGCACAGCGAAAGATGAGCCCAAGTCCACAGCAGCCAGGACACGTGCAGATGACATCAAAAGTCCAGATTTATCTGGGCGCGAATATGCTGTGTCACGGTTTTCGTCTCGAAACGCAGAAGAGAGAGCAAGTGCGACTTTCACCATGCAGGATTTGGAACATTGTGCTGACGAGGGACCGGGACATGTCAGATAGCCTGAACTATCTTGAGAAAGTCTGGAACCTGCAGTACCTTTCCCCAGAAAAAGGATTCTGCAGGAGTTCCCCTGGCTGGCAGCCCTGCACTTGATCCCAATCGCCTACTCATTCGCGTGGCTTGGAAACTGGTCGGCTCCCCGGCTGCAACTTTGAGGCCATGACTACGAAGACCGGTAAGACCGGTAAGACCGGTAAGCTTCACATTTTACACTTTGCTGTCTTGAAGCTACTTGAGTTACGTACTACATAGTTCTGCATAGCTCAGCATGAATATGACGACCCCTCACTCCTCCGTTTGCACAGGTTTGCGCAGAACGGCTCCTGATCCCTGAGGAGGACCGGACATCGGACCGGAAATGTCCATGGCTCGGAGTCACGTTCATGCATGGTACACATGTGTTTTCCAGTGCGCAGGATCGCACGCGCATTGGACTTGGTCTCGGGCTCTTCTCAGCAGCTGGCCGACGCTTCACCGCTTGTGCTGAATTCATCCAAGCGACACTGCTCACTACTCTGAGTTTAAGGGGCAGCAAGCAGGCTTTCAAGCAAGAACGAGGCAGTCCATCACATTGAATGAGCCAAGGAATCCTGTTTGGCCTCCTTGGCGATTGGGCTCCAGGGGGACGAGGACTGTGAGGGACCGCCTAGCCTAGGGGATCGCAGTTTCTGGCGGTATCTCTTGCGCACAGAGCACATGCTGGAGGGAAGATGGGACTTGAGCTCGGCTTCGTTGGGAGCGTCGGTTCCTTGGTCACCAAAGGTTGGCCACAGCGGGCCGGCTTGCATTTCCCTACAGCTCAGGATAGGGCACCCCCGGTTTCCCAATGTTGAATGCGTTCTCAGCCCCTGAGGCTGCTGAGACTAGCTCCATCCATCTCGTTGTTGGAAGTAGCACTCCTTGCGTCTTTCTTGCTGTAGCGGCGGCGCTTTGGGCAAGTTTTCTATGCATGATTTACCGTTTTGATGTGTTCGAGGCCTACACGCCGCATAAGTAATAGTATCCTTACATGGAATCGGCCGATAGGCCGACAGGGTTTGGAGGCTGCAAGCTCCCGATGCCGCTCCCCGGAAACAGCATCGAATCAGTGCCTGTGAAGGGTGCTTGAGCACCTCAGCCCTAAAGATACCTTAAGCACAGCGGTAAAGCCCCTGCTTTGATCGTGCGCACGCTTTTTAGGCGTCTCTAGGCTATGCAAAAGGTCCTTGTGGAATTTATTCTTTCAACCTTTCAAGGATGTATAAGTGTCCGCGAAAGTTGCACGAACAGGGTGTGCGAAAGGATTTTTGTGGTGAAAGTTTTGAAATGCAAGGCGCCTTTTTGCTATGCATCCGCGGCATAAGGTCTCTCACGCCCAGCTGGCTGAAAGCCTCCATCGGATCAGACTACACGCAGCGAGGGTCTAGGGGTTATTCAGCGTTTGAAAGTCTAACGTATCCCATTAAGGGCCCAGCCCACGCAGCATCTGCTCAAAAAGTGCGCATGTGCGTAGCTGCGTAGCTGTAGTACGTAGGCACCATGGATGTGATTATAGGTCTTGGGGTTCAGGAGTGCGCGCGATTGGGCGGCTATAGTTTCGCGAAAGGAACATTGATTTTGGCGAAAGATACATTTCCGGGCCAAAGTGATATTGATCAACGGCCTCAGATATCTGAATGCGATTGACTCAAAGACTTTTCTTAGCAGCCCTGTCGCTGTACTTACCCGAGGCTTATTCCAGCTGGCGTTCTTACTGTTAGAACGAGACGTGGCAGCAGTGTGTGACCAGTCCGCCTGTTGGTTCCAGCGTGTCGAACCGATGCCCTGCTTGCTAAGACGATCAGCGGACTTTCTTCGAGCTTGCTATGCAGCCTCTAGGCTTTTTATCACGACAGCTAGCTCCGTTGGAGTGTTTGTTTACAACCTTCTTGTTTTTTTGGACGAATAGGACTTGAGGGTCTTAGTCCCTGATATCTCGGGGATTCAAGGTGTTGGGGGGGGCGGGGGGGGGGGGGGGGGGGGGGGGGGGGGGGGTGGCGGCGTGGTCCATCTACTAGTCCACAAAGCAAACGCCTGAAACAGAGACTATTTCCCCGAGGAGACAAGCGGAGAGTGCCCGGGAGAGATGAAGCAACAGCCCGCCCCCCCGCCAACCCCCCCCCCCCCCCCCCCCCCCCCCCCCCCCCCTTGGACTCAACTTATTGGCAAATCGCCGCCTGCCATCTGTACGGGCCTTGCTTTCGCCCTGCTCTCCAGTTTTTGCCTTACGTTGTTTCCCAGGCTGGATACCTTTCCTCATGAGCTTGCCGTAAGACGACCTGTTTCATTTGCTCTAGCAGCCATTAAAATCCCAGATGGCTAGCAAAGTGTCTAGCTCGCTGGCTTGGCACGCCTGCCTTGGCACGCACAGCACATGTTCCCTAGCGGGAGAGCTTCAGGTATGCCAGCTTAGACCACATGAATGGGGACGCGAAGAACTACATGGGTCACGACAGAATGACTTTATCCAGCTCAAGCTCCAGACGTTCTACGAAAGTCGACTTTCGAGCCACCAGAGCTCCGGACGTCCTCGGCGTACGAGACTTGCAGTCGGCTTTCGAGCCAACTCCGAATGTCGTCCAGACACACCAAAAGCGACGACGGTTTCGCATGTGGCGAACCCTGCCGTCCAAAAGCGACGTCCGAAACGACGACAGTGTCGCATTTCGCAAACCCAGACATCCAACAGCAACAACAGTATACGAGTTGCTCGTGCTGTTCCTCGCTCGGTGGTCGCAATCGTACTTTTTCCGCAGCGCGGGCTTGGGCACGGATTTCTGGGTGCCTTGAAGCATCGCAGATTACTTGCTTTTTCGTCGTGCGCAGTGTCGAATCGCGCTCTCGCCTAGGCCCCGTGCGCATTTCATGGCGTTCATGGGTGGAAGTTGTGCTCTCTGCCTCTTGGTCCCATGCGTCTTTCGAGGCTTGCATCGCTAAGCATCCTGAAAGCGTGGCGGGCGCGTGGAATCCTACGTTTTGAGCCGGTGGTTGGATTGGCTCGCAGTGTGCGGCCAGACTCGTGGGATTTGCAATTCGCGATGTTGCGAATCGCGCTCTCGCCTAGGGTGCGCGCATCGACGTCGCCATCCTCGTAACTGTCGTCGCTTTTGGCGAAATGGTCGTCGTGGTGGAAATCGCATGAGATCGCGCTCCCGCCCAGGTGCCATGCGCATGGACGTCGCCATCCTCGTACCTGTCTTTTGGACGTCTGGCTTCGCCAAATGCGAAACTGTCGCTTTTGGGCGTCTTTGCATTTCGGACCCTTTTCTCTGGACGTAAGAACCCTTGGTGTTGGCACACTGTTTGGGGAACAAATGTGGGATCTTTTTCGGGAGACTCAGCCGAGCAATCTCGGGAGGATTGTTTTTGCATGAATTGGTTTGCAAGGAGGGCGGGGGGGTTCCAAATTTGAGGTGACAGGTGAACATAAAGTGAGTCGTGTCGTTGCTGGCGTCCGAGAGATCAACGCCTTTGTGCGTTCAAGCGCGCAGGCGGACCTTAGAGTAGAGGCACGGATAAGGAAACAAAACAAAGGTCTAGAGTCTACTACAGAAAGGTGGAGGGAGTGTGGAGGGCAAAGCTTCAGCTTTCCGGCATCGCTCCCACAATACATTGCAGTGGCTCTGGTTTGTGTTGAGTTGGGTGTTTGTCAGAGACATGTGAGCTTAGTCCCTGAGCCTTGCGCGGCTGGCATTTGAGTTTGGCATCTGTTGCTCTTGCGGTTTGGAGTGATTGTGAGAGCTCACGGGGAGTGATAAGATGATTACTTGTGCCGACAGCACAGATGCAGACTTCTGAATGGGCCATAGGCCCTGCAAAGTGGATGTCCATTCAGCGAGGCGGGAGGCAACAAAAAGCACCTTGCAAAATGCGACGTCCCCAGGCTGCAATGCTTGGGCTACGGTGGCCTCCTCTGTTTGGCTCCGGTAGCACTTCGCGCAGGTTTTCCTGTCGAGGCATGGCGGCTTCCATGCTGTTGAAGCTTGTTGGAGGGTATCCGGTCCAGACAGGGCTTTGTGGTGTCTTCATTAATGCTGGCAGTAGGCAGTAGGTGAGTGCAGCACCGGACCTGACCACATAATGCTCCCGTCAGGATCTCGGAACAAGCTTCGGACTGCTCTACCAGCTGCTGGCGGCCACTCGGGCAGACCTTCCTCCTTCTTGCCATTGGCTGGGGCAGGTTAGGCCAGACTCCCACGGATTCCAGACGATTCCAACTGCCATTGCCACTGTCACTGTGTCCGTGCTGTGTTTGTCTCTGTCTCTGTGTGTCTGTCTCTGTCTCTGTGTGTCTGTGTTTGTCTCTGTGTGTCTGTGTGTCTCTGTGTGTGTGTGTGTGTTTGCCTCTGTGTGTGTGTGTGTCTGTGTGTCTGTGTGTCTGTGAGTCTGTGTGTCTGTGTCTCTGTGTGTCTGTGTCTGTCTGTGTGTGTCAGTTCTTCGACTTGAAAGAAATGAATCCCTGACGGCCCTAGCGGTAGCACCTGCTCTTGTATTGCCTTTGAACAAGGTGACCTTCACGGTCTTCAACTGGGCTGCAGTGCCAACCCCTGGTTGTGTGGGCAGCGACTGCTTCCAGGGCTTCTTCAGTGTGGCTTCGATACTTAATGCAGGCCCGATACTCGCACTCACAGCACTCACAGCCTTCTGCATTCCAGGCATGGTTCTGCATTTCTGCTTCTGCCCTCCAAGCCCACAACATGAGCCATCACGATTAAAACCGTAAAACCCGTCCGAGAGAAGGCTGTTTGCTTTGGGCGCTAACTCGGCTGGTTCGTGCGTCTCAGAAGACACCTGGCTTGGACTTTAACAGAAGCTTTTGATGCGACCAGTCACTCAGTCGGCCAATACGAAAGTATTATGCTACTTGAACGCCCTGTGCGGCGACATGCTGCGATTCCCAGGGTTGCGTCCACGTCATTGCGGGCCAGAAAACTCTGAGCCATGGCAAAGACCAGGCACAGCTAAACAGGGGTTAATACATTTAGTGTGAGAGCCAGCGTCCGTGACTGCAACCCACATTGCGTCTGACAGCCTAAGCCCTTGCAATGTGTGAGTACGATTTTCAGCTTTACTCGCCACCTTGAGCACCAGCACTCACAGACGCCCTGGCTCCCACCGGGGTTTAGCTCAAGTTGCACTCTTGCGCCATTGCAGGTAGTTCTGATTGAGGGGCTTTTGCTGTTTGGGACTATCATTCGAAATTTGCATCAGTTGTTTTGAGAGCGCTGCTCTTGCACCCATTGGCCTGCGGGTTGGCCTGCAGAGAATGCAAACTTGAGGGACTGGTGTACACAGATCCTGAGCCAGCGAGGCCTTGACGCACAGTTGACACGCCCATTCAAGATGGCGGTGAACCGTCGGTGGTGCTGGTGTCGTTGTTGTTGTTGCAGTCCAGCCAATGTTATCCAACATCCAATACTCAGCACACCATCCGAGGCGTTGTTTGACACAATTTTCAATCGGCCTCAGCAGCGCGGCCATGATGGCATGCGGGGAAGAAAGTACTGGGCGATTTGATTCTCGAGCCTCACTCGAGCTGCAGTAGAAATTGGTCCATGTGGGTCGTATCTCGTAAGTAACTGTCTCTAAACAGCCTGCAGATGCTGCGCCGTCTTTCTCTCTCCCTCTGTCTCTCCACCATTTCCTTCACCTCTGTGATGAACATGCCAGAAGGCAGCTAGCTTTCGTTGGCCCGGCCCTCCCCCTGAGAGCGCATACGGTTTCGGCACAGTACGGTGAGGACAAACAAAACACAGTGCTTCAAAATTGCCAGGAGGCATTTCCTGCGAGTGACATAGCAGCTGCCACTCCTCGGGTAGCAGGATCCGGTTCACATCCGCACAGGGCACGGCATCCCACCACCACCCACTTGGCCAGCCTTGGCCCCTGCCTCTAGAAGTGGTCTTGACTCACTGACACTTGCAAAAGGTGTGTAGTGACGAGTCACTTCAGTTCACCAAAGTGGAACTTGTCGTGTTCCGTTTTTTGGGCCTTGGAATTGGGAAGTTGGTGTACCCAGCCCGTGAAACAGGACAGAGTATTTCGACATGTTTTCGACCGTTCGGCGATGTGCGACCTTTGAAGAGACGCTGCTTGCTGCTGGGAGTCAGGGCAGCTTTCAGTCATGTCAAGTCCTTGAACGAAGTGCCTGCAGTCTAGGCGGCTGGAAAAAGTAGGCCCTCACTCCTGTGTCATTGTACCACTCTCCTGTATCCCTTTCTCTCTCTCTCTCTCTCTTCCCATTGCTCTCGCATTCCATATCGGGCGCAGTTTGCTGAGGTTGGTTCCCGTGATCTCCTCCCTGGGGTAATGGTCCAGTTCCAGGTCTATGAGGACCTGACCCACACGGTCCAGTTGACAGGTTAAAAGGGCTGCTGGCTCCTATTTCAGCTTGAAGCATGTGCTGCCCTGAAGGTGGCGGGACTGGAGCTGTGACAGCTTTCCTGCATTTGACTGTTTACACTTTACATGTCCGACTTGAGAAAGGCATTGGTTGTGTGCTCGTTGGCTCTCTCCTCTCTCTGTCCTGGTTGCGTGCGCAGCTTTGGATTTGGGGCTTGTGAATCCATCCTCCCATATTTCGTTTGTGCTTGCTTTGTTTCTTTCTCTCTTATTGTGGGTGTGGGTGGATGTGATTCCTGTTGTGGTTGTGCGCTGGAACTCCAGGCTCGATGTTTGTCTCAATGCCCCTAGTACGACTGGAGCGACTGCTCGTGAATCCTGCTGCTTTGTTGCGGGTGCCGCCCTGATGCCCAGTCCCCCCCCCCCATCTCTCGACAGTCCTACTGCTGCTGTCACCTGCTCTCCTACCGTATTACCCTTCGAAGTACCAGGCACATCCAATCGTTGAACTTTGCGAAATTCAGACACGAATCAGGCTGTCCTCATCAATAAGCCCTTGGCCATTGACAGTTGCAAAAAAAGTTTGGTCTTTGCTTGTCGGAGGATGAGTCCGGGCTCGGCGCGCAGAATTGCACAATCTGGGATCCGATGATGCCCTTCAAAGGAGGCTGGGCCAGACATGGTCTTGCACTCCGGTCGCTGAGCAAGAGCGGTCCAGGCGACAGCAGCAGAAGAAACGTGGAGTGTTTGGTACTTGCATGGATTGTACTCGTATGGTGTGAGATGGTCCCTTCCGAAGGGCGTTCTCGGAGCTGAAATGAGCTGAAGCTGGGTTATGGTTTATGGTTAATGTTATTGATGTTTACTTGTTGCTCGTCCTAGTTCGCCGATCTGAGTAGTTGTGTGACGGCCCTTGGGTGCTTCACATGCCTTAGCAGCGCCAGGCTGGATGCCCGGCAAAGGCTTTGGCAAGAAGAGTAAAAGCATGGGCCTCAAGGCTTTCTTTGATTATTGTCAGTTGCCAGCAGCAAGAGTAGCAGCAGGAGCAGGAGCATTCAGGAGCAGTAGTAGTGGTGATGGTGGTAGTAGTGGGAGGATTAGTATTCGCAGCACGAATAATCGTCATACAAGGGCTAGGCTTATTTCGCGTCGCGCACGTGTGGGTGTGTGTGTGTGTTTTCTTTTTAACGTCGCGGAGGGTGTACTTGCCGAAACCAGAAATTTCATGCAAACGTGTACGTTTTTGACATCATGCTTCGCCAGCGTTTGCTTGCAGTTTTTGCTGATTCCATGGTGGCTTTAGCAGAGCAGGCAAAAGGTGCTCCATGGGTATACCTGCCTGACATGGTAGCATAGTTGGATGAGAATCGCGTGACTACCGTGGTGTCTGCCCCCTATGCGAGGTTTCTGCATGTTCTACAGATTTCTACAGGGCTACTTCAAATGCAGCGTTTACCCTTGGATTTGTTTTCCTTGATGCATATTTTCTGCGAGGCAGCATCTACTTGGCGCGATTCATATTCTCACCGGTTGAGGTGAGACACCTCTATCACCTAGTGGAAATTCATAGAAGATAATGAACAGATGATCATGATGAGAATACGGACTATATTGAACATCACCATATAAATACAAACAAAGAAACCAATCGAAAACGCCGGCAAGAGTAAGAAACAGTATGTATGAAGCTGTTGACCGCGTTTGTGGCCAGAACCTCGTGTCAGGGACGGATGTTTCCTCTCAGCACTAAGGCAAAGGAAAGCCAAGCAAAGAGCAGTGGCCTCGAAGGGTTGTCCAAAAAAGTTCGAGATGTGTCCGAAATCGCTTTTGCATGCTTTTCACAGGCCCACCGAGGATGGCAAAGGCAGCACGAGCACGGCTCTCATTCGCCAGAGCAGGTGATCTGGTGAGATCGGTCAACGCAAAAAGTTCTGACTCTTGTCACCGGAGCCATACAGGTGGTCAAGATTGGACAGCAGCAACCTGACCCCTGCGCAATCGTACTTGCAGATCAGCTCGAATGGCCCAAATCTCCCTCAGCTTCATGCCCCCTTTCGCATCCTTCCCGCCTGCTGTCTCGTTAACTGGAGTTTCAAGTGCCCGTGCTCGGTTTTCCAGGCCCTGCCGCTGACTCCCCGGGGGTGTCTCCTGGAGGCAGCACCTTGGGTTGTGGGTCTCATAATTTGGACAAACATGGCTTAACGATACAAAAGTTACGAAGTCGTGAGTGTGTTGATGCAGAGGGGGTGCCGACAACTCTTGGCTTTGGAGGTCCGCGCGGCTTCACCTACCTAGAGTTCGCCATTGCTTAGCTCATTTTCGGTCAGAATGAAGATAGGCTCTGTATCAAACGTGGCCCTCATCCTCTGGTTTCCAAGATAAGCAGGGGCGCCCTTGTGAGAGAGCAGTGGGAGAGCCAATGGCAGAGGCGCCGCAGCGCCGGCAGCGCCTCCTTCGGCTCAGGCAAAAGCCCCGCAGCCCAAGGCCTGACTCGGCCTAGGCATCACTGGGGCACAGTGCTGCCGGGCCTGCGCATCGTAAAAGTATATGTAAAAGTTACGTATAAGGAGGTTCGCAGCCTAGGCAGGCGGCTGGTGTTCAATGCAAGTTCGACCACCGGAGCTAGCACTGCACACGCTCTAGCCTTTTGTTCCATGACTCTTTGCTTTTGCGCCCGCGTTGTTGCAAAGGCCCCGCAGCAGGCCAAAGCGGGCAAAGGCGAAGGCAGTGGGTGTCCATCATTGTCATGTCACCTCTTCGAGCGCCCAGGGCCGCGAGAGGTTTGTGCTTGCATGCGACCACTGCAGGAGAGGCGAAGGGCAAAGGCAAGGGTGGCCGAGGCTCCCAATGCAGCGTCCACTGAGTCTGTAGGCACTGACAATTGCAGTTTCCGGCATAATCCGTGCCAGCAGGAAAGGACCCAGCCAAAAAGGGCGAGGGCGGGGGCAAGCAGCAAGCTCGTCCCTGAGCGAGGTTTCAGAGCCATTAAGCTCTTGTTGCGTTGGACTTGTGCGCCGAGGCAGGAAAGAACTCCAAGGGCAGGGAGAAAGGAGGCCAGCGGCTAGCAGCTGGCATGCATCATTGCGACACGTACTGCGCAGTGGGGCGTCGGTGCGCACAGCCTGGCTTTGGAAATTACGCTCAGCGATGCCAGCCCAGCTGAGGGTTTGAGGCGGCGTACTGTACTGCCGGCAAAGTGCTGGAGACTTGCGAAGCGTCAGGGATTGTTGGCCAGACGAGCCCGTGGACAAGTGCATCAACAGGAAAGACAATGCAAGAAAGCGCGTGGAAAAATTGGGCCATGACGTCGCCGAACATGGTATGATCAGCTCGCTGCACAGAACTTTTCGTAGAAAGAGGAGCATATGGGAGGAGGAATCACCATCTACATCTGGAGTCCTAGCAGTCCCAGTGGTCATAGCTGGTCGAAAGAAATCCAAAGCATGTCAACACCGAAAGTCTCGTTTCTGAATTCTGTTGCAACGCAACGTTTGGCAAGCGAGTTCAGTGCATTTCTGCAGGCAAAGACGGCAAGGGCAAGGACGACAAAGGGAAAGGCACGCTTTGGGTTGCATCTGGACAGAAAACTCTTAGCATGATCTATTGCAAATCTGCCAGGGCGAGGTGGAAATGAGCATCTGCCCCAGTCGATCGCTGTTCCAGCCTCAGCTGTTCCTCTTTCTATCTGCTTCTGCCCCACTCAGTCGCAACGCACCTGGCCGTTTCGCCGCGAGCTGAGCTGCATCTTCTCCGCGCACCGCATGCCCTCCCTATTTGTAACGTCAAAGCTAGTCGAAACAATTCTTGACAGCCTTCGGTCCCAGAAGGCTTTATAAGGGCATGCTTTCCGGGTCATTACGTGAGTCCAAGCCAAGCTCCCAGTATCTCCCAGTTTTTGAGCTCTTAGGATCGGCCTGCAGGGCCTGGTACAGGCGCATAGCTCGCTTGGGAGTCGGCGGGGAATGAACCTAAGCCCTTTCCCTCCGTCCATGATCTGAAGATTCTGACGCAGAACGTGCCAAGAGGCCATGACCAAGAACTCAGAATCCAACGGGGGTCAGGACTTGCATCACCGAAGCTTGCTGGTTATCCACCGGCAGCGGGGCCAGCACCCTGGACATCCCTGGACCATGTTCTCAGCCTGCGGAGTGGCATGTAGTGGCAAGTTGTATAGGCACTGTCAATCACACTCGGGAGTTTGTTCCCGTAGCAAAGCAAGATGCCAGCTCTGCTTTCACAGAGAGACCCGCCCCCATTGAGTTTCAAGGTCCGAGTCAGCAAATTTCCTGTAACAACCCTTTGCAGATCATCGTGAAGCCCTGTGCCGTTTGCGCGGTTGGAGCATATGGGAAAGGGTGGATCCCGTGTCTGCAAATTGACTCAGACTTTGCAGGCTTGCACCGAGCGCGGCGAGCGTAGCAGGCGGGCCAGCGCACTCGCATTCCTCTTAACTGGGGTCAGGGACTCGAACCCCCCCATTCCAAGAGGTGCTGCAACTCTTACTGTGGCATGTTAGGAAAAGAAGTAACATGTAGATTGCATTAAACAATCTATATCTGGCTCATCGAAGTAGCACTGGCCTAAATTGACAGAACAAAGCCAGCAGTGCTTACCGGACATTCTTCATGATGTCATTGTCCTAATACTCTTACCACTCACCAAGGTCACGAATTTTGCAATGCCCACTGACCCAGCTAGGCCCAGCTAGGGGCAAACCTTTCAGATCACATGCGCAATTGATTGGACCATTTGGCTCCGAAGCAAAGTGGCAACCCATGCGGGTGACAGGGAGCGCAAGGGTCAAAGAGATAGCTGCACAATTGCCATGACGATACCTAAGACCCCATTATGCATACTGATTTACTACGGCACGACAGTTAGACAGGACTGACAGTCAGATAGGCTCCTGGCAATGCTTGCACTTCGAGGATTGCTTGCAGGACGAAACGGACCTGGCAACTATGCCTGGTTGGACCTTTTGCTCATTTGCCTTGTCCAGTACATATATGTGCCGGGCATGCTGTCTAAAACAGGCTGTCACACATGAGCCACACGTCCACGCCGAGCTCTCAACGTGTTTCATCGGCTGAGGCTTGGGCCTATTGCCTTCACTTCCAAGGCCCTGCCCGTGCACGGTCAACTAAGCACTCGTGTGCCAGCGATGTGCGTTGCATCAGCCGCATGATAGTTGCATGATAGTTGCATGATTGACGCATATCGACACTGCCTGCAGGATAGACGCGCTCAGGTTCGACGAGCGTGGGCCGAAGCTGGCAAAAAAAAGGCCGGAATGCTGGATTCAATCCACAGAAGGCGTTCAATCTCTCGATCGCCTTGACCTACTCATTTGATGATACTCAGATCCCTGATCCGAACATGGAAGATTCGGCCGGGCGACGTCGTGTTTCTTGTTTCAGGCGGCTCGGAATTAGTGCGCATACGACAGCATCAAGAGACAATGAGAATGCTGGCACAATTTGCAATGTTGCTGGCGCTCGGTGCAATGCCTTAGATCCCGGTTCTACTACGTGGTCCACCTTGCACCCCCCCAGCCACGAATCACAATCAGCCTGGCGGAGGAAGGGAGAAGCGCTCTACCGGGGAAGTTCTGATGGTCGACCACCGCCGAAACATGCTGAAGGTCAAAGGCCTCAACCTTCGCAAGGCTCCGGGGGGGGGGGGGGGGGCTGTTAAGGTCTTCGTTCGATGCTGGCCCGAAAATCGAGCAAACCCGTTGGAGCCCTGTCATGTCTACAGGAAACCTTCGGGGAGATTCGGGAATTAAAGGCTGGGGGGGGCTTTTGGGCTTTCGATGGTTTGTGAGTTTGAGGGCGGTGCACGGGTGTCCTTAGGCGGGCATATGGGCCTCGGGCCGAGACGAATTTCGACGCACTCCCCATGCCCACGTTTTATTTGTGTCGAAGCAGGTGGTCGATGATGAAGGGTCCCTCCGCTGCAGAAAGCAACAAGAGTGGCAAGTAACGGTAGCATCAATGATACCAACAGTCTGCCATACCCGAAAAGGTTGCACAAGGCCATAAGGCCCTGATTGGAGCTGCGAGGAATCCCAAGTTCATCGAGAAAAAGATTCATTACTCCAACTGTGCTCTAATCGATCCAGCAGTGGGCAGGCCGACAAGAGCATCTTGGTTGCAGTGCTTGGTCGTGACCATGCAGACCACAAGCGGGCCATGGAGTCCTGTAAGTATCGAAGGTCGGGTTGACCTTCACGGAAGATGGCGATGCTATCCGCATCTCCCACCTGACTGGCCACATCATTCCTTGGCCAGATTTGCCGAAGCACATGCAACCGCGAGATGAGGACGGGGGACGTGACGTGCGCAATGGGTACCTGTAGTTCATTCATGCCTGGAGAAGGATCATATGGAAGGTCCCAAAGACACTCCTCCAGAAGTGGCACTCCGAAAGACATATGACTACCACGCGGACAAGGCCGATCAGGGCCAGGGTTTTCCGCCATACAGGCGTGGGCTCGTGCTCATTCTATGATGTTGTCTGATATGGTCTGGTGCCCGCTGCGCCCCCTCAGGAAGCTTTGCGACTGGCACGTTTGGCCATGACGAAGTACAACTACAACAGATGACTGCACTTACGGTGAGTGGGGAGACATGCGGTAGAGTGGAGACTACGCCTTGCCGTGTCCAAGACACAGTCCAAAGCCCCATGAAGACCCATCGGCAAAGCGCCGGCTTGCCGAAAAAGCCCTGGCAGCAACTTGTAGCTTGGGAGCTGCAGTTCCTGCTGGCTCTCTCAGTGCATCTCAGTACTTGGGTTTACGGATTGGCACAACATATGTGGGACACGTGCAGGTGCTCCCTGTGGTTTGACCAGCTCGCGCGGCTCTCGGATTTCGGATTGACAAACTGAAAGGAGAAGCACTTGATTCGCTGGGCAGCTTTTCGTGTTGCTCTTGGCTGATGACAGAATTTGTAACGAAACTGGACACGATCTGATTTCTTTACTACTCCCGTTGCGGCTCAGAGAATGCTCTTCAACTGTTTGCTGCAGTTCACAACACAGTGGCTGGACAACAGCGACGTCACAATAATATTTGCTTCAGGTTGGGTTTGGTTCTGCACCTGAAAATGTGCACTGTGCACTGTGCACTGTGCACTGTGCACTGTGCACTGTGCACTGTGCACTGTGCACTGTGCACTGTGCACTGTGCACTGTGCACTGTGCACTGTGCACTGTGCACTGTGCACTGTGCACTGTTTGTTCCTAGGGCGCCACGGAACCTGGCGATGCCCGCTTCGGCTCAGGCGACTGCCAGGGCTTGGGGGGATGGTGCCTGAATGGCACATGACATGATGAGCAAATTGTGCAGGGCTTCTGCGCTTGCGATTCTCGCTTCGGGGTTCGCTACCGTTACTGGGAGGCATGTGGCAAGAGTCTCGGCACAGGATGGTACAAATTGAAAAGGGATCGGATCCAGCCCTGTCACTCGGACTCGGTCTAGTAATTGTCTAGCAGAGCATCTAGTCACTGACCGTTTGGCTATGGCACGTCAGAAGTGGGATTCCTCATGTGGCACAAGCACACATCACAGATCCAACCCGCGGCCCCCGAGCCTCCCATCAGCAGGAGCCGCCACTGCCCAAAATGGGTGCCTCGGCTGATAGGCGGATAGGAAGGTTGAAGATGCTACGGTCCTTTGTTTTGGGCGATTCAGGGTGGTATTCCACTTGAGGGAGGCTGGCTTGCATGTGGTATTTAGGCTCGAGAGGACCATTTGTTTGGAGTACCGCGCCTCAGAGTCAAGTTAATTTGTGCTCGGTTGTTCTTGGTGGTTCTGCTTTCTTGAGAAAGGTGTCAGCCAGGCCGGCATTTTCCCACGAAAGTACACAGGCCGCGGCTTGGGCCTCCCTGTGCCGGGGCCTGTGCCGGGCTTCCTGGAGGCGGGGTGCGGGGGCAAAATCAGGCAACATCCCCGAGTTTCAAGGTCTTGTAAGTGACCTGTGCCCGGAATTGGCAGCCGAATTGACTCGGCATCGGATGTTGCCAAAAAGTAGCAAAACAGGAGCGCGTTGCGAGTCCATTGCCACAGATGGGACCAACCAAGACATGAAGCATGGCCACAGGGCTCCGGCCTGAACTCCATGCCCCAGAATCTGAATCTTGCCGGTCACAGCCTCGGATGTTGCACGTGCCTGTGCACATGTCCGGGGCCAAGTGCAATCTGCATGAATTCGCATTCTACTCCGCCATTTCACGTTCTGTAATGGTGCACACCTTTAAGCACGTAAGCATATATAGACTCGTTGACATGTCCTGTGCAAGGCTTGCAGGGACTGCAGGGACTCAATGGCTTACCAGGCGTGGATGGCAGGGTTGCGCAAGTCAGCTGTTTGAGTCTGTGCATGTCTGTGCCGTTGCCCTGCAAGGCCTTCAGGGCTTGCAGCAGTCACTGGGCTTAGAGCTCAGCGCAGATTGGATCACGCTTGGGTGCAGCACGGCTGTATCTTGTGGTGTTATTCACAGCGGGAGATCAGCTTCCACATCCTTTCCGCAATCTGTTCCAACGAAACAGTCGGCCAGTGCTGGGTTGATAAAACGCAACGCTTGGTGAGAAAACCTCACGGAACATGGGCTTGTGCCAAGGGCTGGGAAATCCTCCCTGGGCTGGCTTCATGCCACCACCGCCACAGGCAAGACATTGCAAGCCTTTATGCTGTGGGGATTGACAGGGTGCAGGAATTCTTTCGAGCAGTGATTGTGGCCCGCCAACCCTTTGACACTAACAACTTACTAACAACCCTTTAAACTTGAGGTCTACACAGTGTGTCACATAAGCATGATGTACAGAGTGTTTTATGTTCTGCCCATCTATCTCCCTATGTTCTAAGTTGAGGATGAGATACAAGATGCTTCCTCACAACGTGCCACCTACCGGACCTTCGATGAGCAGAAAATCATACAGAGTAAGCTAAGTGTGGCAAGATTTTGCCAAAATGCCCATAGATGGATGGCCTGCTAAAGTCTATAAGCCCAATTGAAGTATTAGATGTTTGGACTAGTCAAGCTTACTTAAGCTTAGTCCAGCTGTTACTTTGGCGAAGTTAAGCCTGAGTAAGGCTGACTAGCCTTATTCAGTTGTTGGCAACTTACAAGTGGTGTTTGCGCAGGCAGCTGAACTCTTCCAGGGTCAACGTAGGCCTAGCTTTTCCATTCGGGCGCGGTTTCGTTTGGCACATGACCAGATGGGCCCTGGAGCGGGCCTCGGCGCGCCACTCCCTCAGAGTGTACTTAGTGACCTCGTGATGATTGAGCCATCACTTGTCGAGCTTCTCTTTGTGTTCTCCACCAAGTTTGTTTGATCCTTTGGAGCAAAGTGAAGCTTTTGTGTTCTTTAGTTTTATGGTTGTCTCGACCCGAGCGAAGCTGGTGGGGTCGGCAGTTGGCTGCAGAGAGCGCGTTTTAAGGCCGCCGTACCCAGACCTGCCTGATCTCCACAGCTTGAGAGCGGGCGTGGCTCGGCTCAGCGTGTGATGATGCGAATAACGGGTGGTTTGTGCATATCTAACTATATGTAAATACATATGCATACGCGTTGGTATATGTATACATATGTATATATAGGAGCACATACATACACACATGTATACATATATACATATATGTATATATATATATAAGCGTGATCTCGTCAGGTTGTGCCGCCACCCTTCAGGGGAGGATTGGCACCATCCTTAGCCACTTGCGCCCCTCTGATTCACAACTCTTTCCATGGGGACGGCTTTGCGGAGGCTGATCCAAGCTTCCTGACCTGAGCCACAGGGCGGACTGCAGGGTTTGCCAACTCGAGGCTGCGGAAGGGGGTAAATACTATGCTCATTCTTGCCAATCCATATGTTAGGCCGGGCATTCTAAGTCGAGGGGTTCTTTGATTTTGTAGTAAATACTGTGAGGGGGCCAGCTGTTTTCAGGTTTTCCTGACAAATATCGAGTGCAGCGTCAGCTGAACGACAAGAGCTTGCAATCATGACCTTCAGCCGTAAGCTGCACGCACTATGTGAAGGGCTCATTTGAGATGGAACGCTTTTTTGTGCAGTGCGAGTGAAGGGTGGATTTACGCATTCCACTCCTGCCACAGTTGGCCATCGAATCCTGCTTGAAGTGTTGAGAATGCGGCTGCTCCTGTATTGCAAGATGTACAGGTCTCGAAACCACTGTGGGGATATGGGGAGAGTCCAAGCGGGACTGGCAAGCCAGTCACGTTCACAAGTGCCTTTCTCAGAGCTTTTGTTTTAGACAAGGATGCGAAAAAGAACAACAAAGAGCAGCCGCTTTTCTACACAATCTTTGTCTTTGAACCTTCAGCCGCTTCAGCTCTTGCTTTGGGTTAGGTGAGGCTGCCTGAAGCGCGCAGGTGCCATGATCTCTGTGAATCGTGGATCTGTCAGCGCATGTTCCGTTAGAAGTTGTCTGCCCTCATTTCCGCACCTGCCCTCAGAGAGCCTGATGGATTTGTTGTTTGCTTTCCCGGCAGAGCGCATGGTACGCATGGCATGGGACATGACTAGGCTAGACGCGGCTAGATCCCTCGCCAAATCCGCACGCAATCTTGCCTTTGTACGCCTTTTGGCGCTATAGATGCCTTTGCCATGCTACATATGCGACCATTTCGAAGCTCACTTCAAGCACAAAGAAGGCTCCAGAGCGTTTCCATACCTGCTCCGATGCGAGTTTGAGCTATCTTGAGGAGTCGAGAGGTTTGAACGAGCATGAAGATCTGCGTGGATTGCAATAGCATGTTATAGAGACGAACGGAACCGCTTGAGCCGACCAGGGAAAGCAGCTCCTTGGGACATGCAATACCATGTGTGGTCACGCGGGAATAGAAAGTGGCAAGTTTTGACAGGTTCACGTGCGAGGGTTCCCATAAGACGGTGTAGAGTGGCTTCATGGACATGTCCCGACAAGAGTGGTTCAGCAGAGCCGGCTGGATGCTGGCGACACTGCCACGGGACCTTTGCAAGTCCCATGGGGGCAAAGCATCTCTTAAACGGCGAAGTTCAAGTTATGTAATGGCATCAAAGCACGAAGCCGTGGATGAGCTGGCGCGAACCCGTACCACAGCATTTACCATCTTCTGGTAGTGTAATCCAAGAAATAGGACAGGAGATGCCCTTAAGCCAAGGCATCCCATGGCAAAGTGCGGAGATGTCGCCAAAAAACAAAACAAACACGCCTTTATCAGGGCTGTGCTTGCGTGGCCATCTCGCACGCTATGCAGATGAGCCATGCTGCTTTGGGCAGCCAAGCCGTTGAAATGCGGCATCATGCGGCTCAAGCCTCATGACCCGGATAGTGCCGTGATGCGTTTCGATGCGTTTCGGGCTCTAGCTTGACAGCTTTGGGGTTGTCTGGGAAGCTAGCTACGGAAGCTACTGCAAGAATGCAGACCGGCTCTATGGAGAGTGTTTCCCGAAGATGAGTGCTGAGACACCCCATGCGCCAGCCAGTGCTCTTTATGCTCTTTGTACCTTTTTGGCTCCTGAAGCTCAGCAAGGAGTATGTTGTAGAACCCCTACGAAGACCTTGCGGGGTGCGAGTTTTTGTCAACATTTCCCGTCCCGAAGC